TGGAGTTCAGACGTGTGCTCTTCCGATAGTATTTATTTGTGTTTGCATGCTACTTAGTTCCCGTAATCCAAGTAATATGTTTGTTTAAATTCCAAATATCGAACTGACTAAACAATGCTGATGGGGGTAATAAATAGTGTATATTTTTAATAGAACGGTTGAGTTGAATGCGATAAATTTTTATTGAAACAAAATAGTTTAGTTAGTTAAGAAATAGTATTTTGTTTATAATAGTAACAAATTATTTTGTATCATCGTAGTAATGTTTAGTCCAACGTATCAGACTAAATATTTTGGTAAAATGAAACAAATTTTGCGTTTTTTAACAAATTTTTTTTCTCAGTATAGGTGATTTTAATTGGACAGCAAATAATGTATATTTTTATATTTTTAAAAAATTTTTTGTTCTTATTACAATATTAAAATTTATTTTTATGTAAAGTTTTAATGTTTTTCGAGATATAAAAATTTTTAATATATGCAAATTTCGAAATCATGATACCTCGAACTCCCAACTTTCAAACTGTTTAATAATAAGATACAGAACCTTGGTGATCAATCATTTTAAAACGGATATGTATATATACGTTCATTCAAATACACAAATTAGAAATGAAAAGGAATAAAGCAAGCAAGCAAACAAGAAATGTTAGAATATAATCATATCATTTAATTTGACAATATTTATATAGGACAGTTTTATTTTATATTAGTAAAAATTATATATTTTCCGATTTAATTAATGTAATATGTCTATTGAAATTTATATTTACGATATAATTAAAATATACTAGTATATATTTTTATATATACTAGTATATATTTTTTATTATTTAATATACTATAGTATATATTTTTACACAAAAATATACTAGTATATATTTTTACACGCATAAATAAACAAATATTAAAATAATTAAATTTTTACGATATTTTTTATGTATTTGAATACAATTTTAATTTTTAATTTCTTCTCTCCAAAAAATTAAAAAATATAATATTGTAATATTCTTTAATTTATTAATTTTGAAATAAAACTGGGCACAAAGTGTGATGTCTAGGAATATTTTTAAAAAACTCAATATCGCGCACCATATGAAGGCATTAAAAAGATGCGATATTCGTATAGAAGAAATACAACTGGTAGAATACAACTAAAAAAATTATTTTTTATTTTTACCTTTTTTGAGTTTCATGCCTTATATAGGAATAAAACATTAAGTCATTAAGCGAATTACAGATCGAGCCATATGGTATCGCAAGATAATATTAAGACATTTTTAAAATAAAAACAGACTGTGATCAATAGACTGTGTCAATAGCTAAAATAAAAGATCTAATATATTTTGTCTGATAAGAGTACAACTTTGTGTTGCAAGTTTTCTCTTTAATAACGGAATGCATAAAAGCTGCAAGAATTAGCTTTATTATCCTTAAAGGATAACAAACGTTATGAAATATGAAACTCAAAAGAGATAAAATTTATTTGTACATATTATGTAAAACAATAATAATAATAATTTTCTTACATGTATATTTATTTTTATATCTTAAAAATTATCTTAAATGTTTAAGAAGTTCCAGAAATTCTCTATTGTACTAATGTCGCATAGGTCGCATCTCTTTGGCGTGCCTCTTTGGTGCGAAAGAAATCACATGCAATATTGAATTTTATTTTATTTTTTTCGAAACGTTCCCCAAGCACACACGCACACACACACACACACACACACACCCTTCTTTTACTTTCAAGTTTTTTCTAAATATACTAGCACTACAAATGCGCGCTTCGCGCGCGCTATTTAACACTTCTTACTATAATTTATAATTACATCAACCTCAATACACACAACTGTTAAAATGCAATGTCATAACACACAACTGTCAAAATGCAATGTCATAGCCGCTTACACGAAGTATCGCAACGAGACAACCAATCAACATCGCGGAAAAGTGACAACAAATAATATTTCGAGAAATGCGAGTTATCGACTTTACATGCACTTTTTTAGATAGGAGGAAATAAATCAAGGACTATTAAAACATTTTTTGTAATTTGTAATTCTTTGGGAAAGAGATTGAAAACTTAAGAAAAGCATTCAAATACATAATAAAGTAGAAATGAAAGAGAAAAAAGGTTATATAATAAAGCAAGAGATGTTAGAATATAATCATATCATTTAATTTGACAATATTTATATTAAAAGATCCAACATAGTTTTATCTTAATAGTAAAAATATTATATTATAAATTTTCCAGTTTAATTAATGTAATATATCTATTTAAACTTGCATTTGTATTTGCGGTTGAAGCAGACTTATTGTTAGTCAAGTTGAAACGTCCCGCTTTAATATGTATTATTAAATTAAATATGATTATATACTCTGACAATTGACATTTGTTAGTTTTATTGGTTTCTATTCTTTTTTATTTCCAATTTATTTCTAAATACAAAGCTGCAGTATGCAGTTTTTGCTTTAAATACACATTTCTCATAAAAATTATAATATATAATATGCAACATATATAATATAAATTAGTGATATTAAAAAATTTATTTATTTACGCATAAAATGTGATAAATCCGCTTTAAAATGATTAATCGCCGAATCTTAATTGTTTGGAAATTGGAGCATTCTATAAAACCATCGACTTCAAGATATTTTTTGCATGAGATACAAATAAAAATCGCACGCAGCTCGAAGTCTGAAGTCACAGGTTAACTATTGTTTCGCTCCAATGACATTTAAATAATGCAAATATGTTATTCCACAATGCAGCGTGCAAAATGTCGAACTGGGAAAAAAAGAGAAGAGACAAAGAACGCTCGAAGAATAGTGTAATTGATTATTGAATGTTGTGAATTATAATCGAGTTTTACATAAATTAACTTAATTTTCGCATTTGACAAAATTGACAGTTTTGTAATCACACATGCATCTGATACGGCATAAAACACTTCACTCGTTTCATCAAGCACAGATGTCGGTTCGATCTCACCAAAAAATTTTCTTAATTTTCAACAGTTCTTTTCAAATATCGTACAAGTTGAAGTTATAAAATTGTGTAAAAAAAAGGGAGTGGGAAGAATGATAACGCTAACGGGACTATATAAATAAAAAATGTATCACGTCGAAATTATACAGCGTATCAACTGAGATACGGCAGGCATACTTGCAGCATTAACTTGTCGCGATCCTCTTGTTCCTTGTTTCGTTTCTTCATCTGAACGTGTTTTACAACATGATTGTTTATAAACGACAACAATTCATAACGATTTGACAATTAGTTACAACGATTACACGACATGTTTGCGTACATATACACTACAATGTCTAAAGTCCGGTTTCTGAAAACGTAGTTTGAATAAAGTTCTTATGCAAATATGACAATCATGTTATTTCATTTCGGATTGCACGCAACGTCTGTATTTGTATGAATTTATCTGTTATATTTCCAAAACGATAAGAGATCGAGCAACAGTTAGAATACACGTCTTCCGAAAATGATTCAAAAATTGTTATTCTTAGCTGAGATCACATCTCGCTAAGAAGCTACGAGAAGTAACGCAACCTAAATCCAATTCAAGTTTCGTGCTGTCTTGAAGTGGTGAAACAATTAGTTTCAAGTAAGTTGGTAAAACAATCTTTAACGCGAAAGAACTTTGTCCATTCGAGGTCTCTCACGTCTAGTACAGTAATAAATTGCATATCGATTGACAAAAAAATGATAGATTAAATATATTCATTGCTGCAAAAAAAAAAAAAAAATTAAAATCGACAAATCGCCAAGAAGACAATCACATTCAAACGGATTTTTTTTACATAAGATTCTTTTAATTATTCTGCATATAAAAGAATTAGTTACTAAAAAAATTGATATGATAGTGTTTATATTTTGTGTTAAAATGCATCAGTGTTCCAAAGAGTGTATCTACGAACAGCGTCGGCTTAAAGGATTGTGTTTTTATGAAGCATTTTGATATCTTCTAACAATAATCTTTTATTTTAGCTAAATTCTGTTACAAGACGCAAACGATTCAAAATCTATAATAAAAATGGGCAAGGTTCTTCGAATTGTTGGATTCAGTTCATGCCACTGCTTGCAACTTTTTATCACAATACATGATAAAACAATCAGTTTAAGAGGGTTGGTAAAACAATGAATTTCAAGAAAATTGATAAATCAATCAGCTTTAGTAGAACGCGAAATTTAAACTGGATTTAGTTCTTGCGACTTTGTCACAATATGTTCCCCTAATACGATTTTAAAAAGCTATCGAGAGATACGCGTTCCAACTCTGTCTTTCACTCTCACTTATTACTTATCTTGGAAAAAAAGATAAAGAGAGCAAATACAGATATCTTAAATTATAAATCGAACATGAAATAGTGTAGAAAAAAATGTATAGAATATATTATACATATACACACACATACAACTTATAAACGAATGTTATTTTAATTAATAGAAAAACTAAATTTGACGCGATAATCTAATATTTTACGTAATTTTATAACACGATGACGCAAAAGGTGCCAATGTATATTTGTGAACGGTGATTGAATGAACGACATTTATTTGCAACAGTTTTCTCTCTTAATTTAAATAAATTTGCTTAAAACAGATAAAAAAAAAAGATAAATAATTCCTACGTTAACGTAACTCTGGAACATTCGTTCTAAAAAACAAGCATGTGAGCAAATAAGAAAATGTCTCAATTCGAAAGCATTAAACGACATTAATTTACAAGTGACGTGAGCAGTCGAAAGATGCTTCTGGTGCGTGTACGCACGCATTTTTCTCTCTACCGTACTTCAGCTAATTCGTGCATCACACGTTCAATAAAGACCAGTTTTTCTTTTAACTTCCTAAATTTCGCGATGGGGGGATTACTATGTGTCGTAATCCTCGTCAATGTTGGCGGTGCGGGTGAAATTCGACGTTGGCTGGTCGCTCGCGCTCGGATTGAGCTCCGTATAAAAATTTGGTCGACTAATTTGGAAGGCCGTAGGTATGGACATGTGGAACTCCGGGACCTGCGAGTGGCCGCCGACTGTCGTCGCGGCCCTTTGGTTAACGGGATTCAAACTGCTCGATCCGTTGTCTCTCGTGCTCCTGTGGTTTACGTTCATTTCGGCGCTAACCGGTAACCCGAGATGCTTTTGATATCTGAGAAAAATACGAATCGTGAGATTATTATACACGCGAGATTCTTGGAGAGTCGGCAAGTCAAAGAGTCGAAAGACTCACTCTAATGGATCGGGATGCTGCATCGTCGTCGAACATGCGGTGGCTGTTGTGTTCGGCGCACTGACGTGCGACGGTGCGGATGTCTCCGGTGACATGGGTACCTCGTCGTCAGGCCCCGACACGTCAGGTAGGGATTTCACTAGATCCTTTAGAAAGTCGAATCGGCTCTCCGATAGGATACACTGTTTCCTGCAAACATAAGCATACCAATAAGATGCTACGCATGTATAGGACACATTCTTTTACTTCACGAGTACAAGCATTTGTGAGAACATTTTTTCCATCTTGCCAAGAGATGACGGAGAAAGGTTCATTGTACATCGCGAACAATCGTTGCTTGAATATTTTGCAGCATCGTGAACCTAACACTCATTTGATACAATGACAAAATTCAAAAAATAAAATTTTCCAATAAGTTTTAATTAATTAAAATTTTAGACAGAAGGAAGAGGCTCCAAGAAATAAATCAAATATAGTGAAGTAATCGCCTATAAGTGTGTAGTTGTAACGATAAGAATTTCACACACCAACACCCGTGTCGGCTTTTATAGGCAATTACTTCACTATATTTGAATTAAAATTGTGTTTTATTATTTTTAAATGCGATTTAAACTGATTGTAGAATAATATAATTATAGAATAAAATTTTTCTTTTTTTTTAGGTTCTCGTTTTTTTTGCAAACAATTAAAAAATGACAATTCTTGAGTTATGTTGTAGCAAATGAGCGACAAGGATAAACTTGGACAGATCTGAATGATGATATCGCTATGTACTCACATATGAGATGGACTTAGAGTCTTGGCGTTTTTGGCACTCGTGATCTGCATGGTCTTGGTTAACAAGGAGTGTACAAACAGTTCCAGGGTCCTAGGTAAGCTTCATTAAGGAACAATTGTACTCAGGTAAATATGGTAAATGCAGATGTGATTTTCCGACTATCACTATCAAATCTATGTAAATCTGTGCTCATGAAAGAAAGAAAATAAACAAATAGCTATTTATTAAGCGTTCTAGGACAATGGCTGTGTTTAGTAGAAAGAGCAGCTTTGCAACTGTTCTAAGATTTTATTTAATACGATTAGTTTATACATTTAGATCCATGTGGAGCTAAAGGAGAGAACCAATCGTTGAAGAATCTTACAACAGTTGTAAAGCTGTTTTTTTTTCTGCTAAATGCAGCTCGAGAAAAAAAAATTGTAAGACAACACAAGAAAAATATCAGAACGCTTCTAGACACTGTTGGAACTTAAATCTAAATCTTTTCTCTTCTCAAGTCCATTTCTGTCATTGTAGATTAACTTTGATCTCAGTTTAATTTACTGTTTATCTTTTTCTAACGTCCATTTCTACCAATGTAGATTAACTTTAATCTCGATTTTATTTATTTTTTATGTTTTTCTAATTCGTAGAACTAGAAAAAGATAGAAAATAAGTTAAACCAAAATTAAAGTTAATCTACATTGAATAGAAATAGCCATAACTCTTGTTTACTTTTTGTTTTTCCAATTCTTAGAATTAGAAAAAGATACAAAATAAGTTAAACCAAGATTAAAGTTAATCTACATTGAACAGAAATGGCCATAACTCTTAGAATAAGAGAATAAAAATTAAGTTAAACCAAAATTAAAATTGATCTACATTGGTAGAAATGGACATCAGGTAGCTACTTTGCCATCACTGACTCACAACTGTCTCTTTTTGATATTTCTGCGTTTCGCCCATGTATTTTACAGTTTGGCTAGATTAACAACATGTGTCCTTGAGTGTCACTGTGATGACTCTTCTCCGGTCAGTTCTAAAACATTCAGATTCTCTGGTCATACATTCTTTTCTACATCGACAAATGCACACCGCCTTATGCATTCCCTAGGAACCTTAATTCTTCTTCTGACTCCCTTATTACCCAAGGATAAACAAATCCGACCCCACTTCTGAAAGCTACAGGGCGACACGAGAAAAATATCAGGGTGCCCCTGGGCCGAGATTCAAACTCGTCTTCTCTTCTTTCAAGATCTTTCTTCTTCTCAGGCAACTCTACTACGTCGCTCCTGGAGCCACAATTGTTCCTTTTTATTATTTCTGTGTTTTCCCATGTGTCTTACAATAGTACATGCTATTTTTAACAAGACATGTGGATGCAAACATCGCCAAGGTACAAAACAAATGAGAAAGAAAGCAAGAGAGAGAGATGATGTAGGTAAAGGATATAAATTATAATCGGCACCGCCTGGGCGACCTTCCCGACCTCCTCGTCCGTCTGCATGATCTTCTTGATACGACCCTGACAACAGACACGCGGGATTGAGGTTATGTCATGCGTATAGGCGCGTCGGGTCGGCGGTTTACCGCGACCGTTCGCGAAAGCGCGCTCTCCCGTTCCCGTCGCGGCACGCGATCGACGCGTCCGGTTGACACGCGGCGCGAGCCGACGACAGTCGCGGAACTCCAGGAGTTCCGAACGCTCGCCCGCTCGCTTCTCGTTCTCTCGCTTGCCGTCTCGTCGCGTGCCGTTGACGCGCCGTTCCGCGACGGGACGAGACCGGACGGGACTGACGGGACGGAGGAACGAGATGTTGTCGCTTACCGCTGGAAAACGAGCGTTGTATTTTTTCTTCTTACTGGGCATGCCGTTGCCGCGATACGTTACGACGCGATACGGCACGATACTGCACGACGGCGCGGCCACCCGTAGGCACACGACAGGGGCGCAACACGCATGCACGCGTCACGCGACACGACGCGATCGCGTGCGTAAACAAACGGGGTAAGAGGATGAGAGAGGAGGGGGGGAGGGGGGTGGCAGGAGAAGGGAAAGAGGAGGCGGTTTCGCGATCGCAAGAGCCTCCCCCGCGGAATGGTTCCTTATCGTCCCGGGGCGTTCCTCCCCCCCCCCTCCACGGGGTTTTGGACACATCGACAGTGTTGCCAGACCTCCAGAAATGTCTGTATATTCAAAGAAAATTTGGACAAGCTACAGAATACAGATTCTGTATGTAAAATCTCCAGAAATTTAGGATATTTCTATTTAGCAACACAAATCAACACACTCGATACAAGTGTCATTCAGTCAGACTTGAAAACAATCACTTATTGATTACTTAAAACTATGATATAATTAAATTATAATTAAAAATAACGTAAAATAAAAATTTTGGAACACATGAAATTTAAACCGTTATTCTGTATAATACGTATTCTAATATATAACTATGTATTTTCATACATCGACTGATTATGCTTTTTGATCATCCCTTTTTTAATGTCCATACTGTAACAATTTTCGTTTACGCATTTTAAATGTGCCTTAGACCTTAAAATGCCTACTAGTGCAGTAATTTCTAATTTATTTCGAATTTTATTTTTATTTAAATTTATTTCAGAAAAAATTCGCTCAACTGTTGCACTAGAATGCGGCAAACATAATAAATTCAGAGCAAAATTCGATAAAAGTGGAAATTTTTTTGTGTCATTACCACATTTCAAATTTTTTATCATTACCCAAAATTTTTTAGCAGTGTACATTAAGTAGTGACATCTGTAGATATTTCATTTACAGACATCTACAGACTTTTTGATAAGGGACTCCAGAAAAATTCGTTCAGGGATCTGGCAACACTGCACATCGAGAAGAAACGCCGAGGGTTGCTTTGGACTTTGGAGCTTTGTAGTTGATTCTTGTGCGAGACTGAGGTGGACGTCTGTGGCCGAGTGATTCTACGTTCCAGAATCTTCGCGACGATTTAGTACTTCTTTACTTCCGCATTAGTATTTCATTCATTACGTATTAGTATTGTATATCATTCGAGTCTAAGAATCTGGGCGTAAAAGAAGAAGAACAAGAAGAAGAAGAAGGAGCTTTGTACAGCCACGCGGGCCACGCCGCGATGCAATGCGTCTCTCACCACTTTTTCCTGCCGAACATTCGCTTGAACTTTTACAATTATAATTATAACTGATATATATATGTCGATTAATGATCATTGCATTTAATTTCTATCTCGCTATAGAAATTATATCATTAATTTAGCTTTAATCCCGGTTTAATTTTATACTCTTTATATTTGATATTTTTATAATAAGCTAGAGAAAGATAAAAAGTATAAGTTAAACTGAGATTAAAGTTATAAATCTATACATTGATAGAAATGCGAAATATGTAAATTGATCATAAATATGTATATGTATAATATATATACATGAGTTACATATTTTTTGAAATATTTAATTTATATATTAAATTATCCGCGAAATTACTTCGATAAATCAGAACTTGCCAATTATATATAATATATTTATATATATTTCAAAACTCTTCGCACAAAATATAAATGATTTCATACTTAAACTTTGTTCATAATTTATTTATGTCGATATATCGATTAATTGTGTAATATATCAATATAATTAATTAATTTTCAGTTATACTTTGATCAAAATTTTTTTATTTAAATTTATATATATGAAAACTAATTTTTTCAATTTATTTATTTATTCGCTTAACTGCAGTGTGGAAATTAATAATTTATTATCCGATGACTCATATCTCTTTTAACGATATTTCAAAAGTCACGCGAGAATCGAGATATACATACTTATATATGTATGTATATATGTATGATATATTACGATGTATACATACAACATACATATATATTTCGAATGATAAGAAAATTGTTTAAAATGACCAATTTTACCGTCTACGATTAGCCGACTGATTATGACATTGGAATTGACCAATTGCATTCGTCGTTAGGTAGAACTGACTAGTCACTAGAATTAATCGGTCAATGAGTTGTCAAGGTAGTATGTACATACATACACTCGCAAATTCAAAATATTGAGCATTTCTTGAAATTGAAACTATATATGTTGTACTAGAAGTCGTTGATACGCTTGTATTAGAATGAGATTGACCATCTCAATACTGAGATATAAGCAATTAAAAATTGCATTTTTTACACGTGTCGCCTATACAAAGTTGATAAAACTGTCGCGTTTATTTTTGTAGGGCCTAAACTAGTATTGAGATTTTAATAAAAAACGAATATGTGATGAAGGGATATGAAATGAATATTATGAAAAAAATTCATAATTTGTTACCATTTAGTTTGGAAAATAGATTTAAAAAATATAATTTTCGATTTTTATTGACATATGGAGGCGAGTGAAGAGGCGGCCAGTCGAGCTGCGTTAGTCTTCTGTCTGAATTAATTTTTTTCTGCGTGTGCGTGCGGTCTATTATGGATAGGCATAACCAAATGTTTTTTCTCACTGGCGGCAATGGAAATATCGCCACCGAGCGCGTGATGAGTCATGAGACCTAACTTTTGGATGGTATTGTCGCGAGTGTACTACCTTAAGTTAATCGAAATAATTTTATTTAAAACTGTCTTTTTATAGTTACCATCCGTGTTTGATTATCCATAGAGACTATAAAACAGTTGAAAAAAATTGTAATTTTGCAGTAAATAGCAATATATATGATATTATATCATTATATAAGTATTCATACTTATTTATAAAGCATTTATATAATAAAAATCATGATTTTAATAATGTATTATTCAGGGTTGTGCCGTAGATTTCAAGATTACGTCTACACGGATTATTTACGTGAAATCTACGTGATGTTTACACGGTCTTTTTGCTACGTAGACAATCTAGACTATATATCTAGAATATTAGTAGAATATTAGAATATCTAGTAAATTATATCACTAATATATACAGTATAAAAGAATTAAATTATAAAACAGTCTCTACCCACAGTAGAAATGTCCAAAATGTATATATCTAGAAACAGGCTAAAGATACCATAACTTTAGAATATTCTTGATGTATTTTGAACATTAATTTAATTACGAGATTAAGATTAAGAATGCAACCAGAGAATTTTTCTTACTCAAATGGTAGTTTTTTTACATAAACATTAAATTATATGTATTTATTAAATGAATAAATATATAGTCTATACTGACTGTCTACATAGATGACACTTATACAATAGTTTACGTTGTCTACACGTAAACGTAGAGTATTATATTTTCCACGTAGATGCACAACCCTGGTATTATTCAAATAAATTGCAAATTTATGTCAAAAGTCGATAACATCAACATTCTGCAATTAAGGGCCCTCTGGGCCCTTTGGCCGGCACAAAAATTTGCCCAGAACTGACGGTCTTTAACAGTATCTTGTCGGTGATAACTGGATACAAATTATAATAGCAGGGAATGGAAAGTTACTTTTTAAA